TCAGCATTCCTGAATCCAACGATGCACACGAACTTTGGATACAAGGGGACCGATACATACTGCAACCCTGCCATTGAAGCTGCTATTTTCCGCTGTCTGACTCTAGGGCAGCTGCTGCACACTGGTTGCTTCGTAGGCTCAGCTGCTGGAACAACCGGAAGAACGCGGCCTTGGTGATTCCGTACCTGCATCATGCAACGTTCAGATCGCAATTGCAAACCTGGCTTACGACAAGTGTTGGCACACGTCGCGGTCCCACGCTGTGGCCGATGCCTCCAAACGCCGTGGCATGCTATCACGGAGTACGAGCACCACTTAGTCGTACAAGACGGCTTTCGATCTCGCGCAACACACATGAACATATGCAGGGCCGTCGTGTTCAACTCAAGGCGTCTATTCGGGAACATAGTGAAGCCATAGAGCTTGGAGATGTTTGGAGGCATCGCTGACAGCGGTACTTGATCAATAGTCGGGAGTGTCGGGTGATGTTTGCGCCCGCATTCGGCAACGGGGTCATTCCTGTTGTATCGGGTTGGCTTCCAACTGCTGACCCGCATTGTTTTTCACGTCATTTGTTGGAGCTGCCTGGGCTGTGCATTGCCATCCCCATTTACTCCCAATGCCCTTAGATCCGTCATCCACGTCCAAGCCACACGAAACTCAAAAACACCGGCCTCTGCAAAAAGAAGAGCAAAAACTGCCGAAACTGAAAAAATGCGACACAACGTATTTCAAAATCAATAAAATTGGAGGCCGAAAGCCAAAGAACAAAGACCCTAAAGATTTGAAACCCCAAAAAAACTGACAGAGAGAGCGAGAGACAGAGGGAGAGGGGGAGAGAGAGAGAGAGAAAGAGAGAGAGAGAGAGAGAGAGAGGGAAAGAATGAGAATCCCAGAAGTGCGCAAAGCTACTAGAACCAAGACGCGCAACAAAGCTCGGAAAACCGAACGACACGTAACCTGCAAAGTTGGAGAGACCAGATATCACAACGTCAAACCCGACACAAAAGGACCGGTTGTCGAAATGGGCGATTCTGTGTTTCCAAATTTGCCGCAGACAAGCGACGCCACCGATGTTCCAAGGTGGAGGACACGGCCGCCATGTAGTCGAGGAAGCAAGGCCTGCGCAAGCTGCTGCAGACACATGCACAGAGATACACAACACACACACACACATGCACAAACACCTACAGGCACAAACGCAAAGCCCAAAGCTTCCGAAACCTTCAGCGCGTCTCCTGGCCTTGGTCAAAGCCAACGGCGCAACGACGTTGACTCGCAAAGCCTCCTTCCGAGGTGCAGCCGGGAAAAAAGGCAGAGTCGTGGCAAAGAAAACGCATAACATGACTTGTGCACGACCCTTTCCGGCGCAACATGGCTCGGGCCCATGGACACCAACTGTGTCAGCATCGTCGCTTCTATACTCTATACCCCCGCGCCCGAAAGACCAGCAACTGCCCGCCCAAGTCCGCAGCCGATGGCCGTGGCTTTCTGTTGCTGCATGCAGCCCCACACGCACACGCGACTAACGGCGCGGCCGTCTGCTGGAAAGCCGTCTCGAAGCTTTGCATAGGCAAGCAAGCCGTTGCGGTTGGGGTGGGTGGTGGTTGCCACGTTTTCCCGTGCTGGCAGTTAGCGCCCCAGACCCCCGAAAGCCTCCCACAGCCCGAAGTCGAACAACCTGGGTGAGCGCAACTGTGCTTTTCTTCACGGCCAACCTGCGACAGCTCGCGCTCCATCATTGCTGCGAAGCCGCTTCCCTTCCTGGCCCACGTCATTGAGTTGCGGCTATGGCCGTCGCTCATTGCAAAGGCAAGCGAAGCTTATCCAACACTTTAGGCGGCGTTACTGTGCATCGGACTGGGCAAGGCAGTGCCGACATGTTCACTCCTTCAGCTACCCACAGTCCGACTACCCACACTCCAAACTGCTCCACCCGCACGCGCTGCAAGGTTGGACTGCCAAACACGCAGCCTGCACAGGACAGCACTTCCCACGGCCCCACCACGCGCGTTAGCCCCTTGGCCATGGCGTCATGTGGCATGCATGCTAAGTTGGCCGGAAGGCAGTGCACAGCCCCACACCCGACCAACGGTGTGACCAGATGCAGCCAAACTGCACGAACATGGTCGAGCACCGAGGCAAGATGCTGCACCTTCCGCGCGCCTGTTGCTGACCGCAGCAGCACCACATCCAATCTCATCGACCTTGCAAAGCTAAGCGCACATGCCACAGCTATGTTGTGATGCCCGTGCTGCTGAAGCCGGCCGCCGCTGTCAGTGAGCTGCACGACATCAGGTCACGACCTGGCGAGGCTCAATTGGCCCAGACGTGAGCAGCAACTGTGAACTACCAAGCTATCGCGCTCTAGGTACAAACACACTCAGCACATCAGTAGCCATCGAGCCGCACAAAGTTCCACTGGAAACACAGGTTGTCTCTGCCTGTGGTGGGAGTGACCGGCACTGTCAGGGACGCACCCTGCGCAGGACAGCACCTCCCACTGCCCCACCAAGCGCTTTAGCCCATTGGCCGTGGTGTCATCTGGCACGCATGCCAGGTTGGCCATGGTTGGCCAGAAGGCGGCACACAGCCCCACGCCCGACCAACGGTGTGACCACATGCGGCCGAGCTGCACGCACATGGTTGAGTAGGGCGCATCAGGGGGCGTACGACTGCATGTTAGGCACGCTGTCTTCCTCGAGGCCCAAAGTCCACTGTCCGTGAGCTGCACGACATCATGTCATGACCTGGCGAGGCTCACGTGGGTCAGGCGTAAGCACCATCAACGGTGCAATGCAGCCGCCCGAACTGCAAAGTTCCACTGAAAACAAAAGTCTTCTCCGCCCGTGCACGTGGGAACGACCGGCACGGTCAGGGACTCACCCTCTGCAGGAAAGCACCTCCCACTTCCCCACCATGTCCTTTCGCCGCTTTTAGCCTGTTGGCTGCGGTGTCATTCACCCAAACTGCTCGCGCATGGCGGGGCAAGGCACGTGACGACGCAAGAAGAACCTGGTAAGAGCACGTCGGGCAATGCGACATGCGCAGGGATGCCCGCAAAGGCACCGCGTCATTGCTGAAACGTGGGCCTGCGCACTTCCGCCCCGCCTCGGCTTTTTGACCGCTGCGACGAAAGGTACGCCCGGGTCACGACAACCGCTCGACGAAAAGATACCAGTGCACGACACTGACATCCTGGGAGGTCTGGTGTTCCCGTTGACGTGAGGATGACTAGCACTGCCCACGACGCAGGGCGATTGCCACTGATGGTCGCCACTTGCTTCAGCCGCTTTAGCTCGTGTGTGATGCTGCTGGCGTGTCCGGACGGCACAAGCACAATCCCACCATGCGGCCTCGTACGACCAAGTTGCTCATGTGCGGCTACACATGCCTGAACAACTGCTTCCTTTGCTTCCTATACCTATACATCAAAGGCTTCCTCGAAATGGTTGAGATCCAACTCTGCCAGGGGCCCTGGGTCGCCAATGGCAGCATTCTGCACCTTGGGCGGGGCTGGGAGAACTGCTGTCCCCGCACATGGCTGCGGCATGTCACATATTACCATAGCCACGTTGCCAGCAGCAACACCGAAGCTCCGGCCGGAAGTGCATCCAGCAGCCTTAGCCGACGCATGGTCGACGGGTTGCTTCCCTTCGCATGCTTGTGAAAAGATGTTGCTGAAATTCTGTTTTGTCGCTTCGCGTTTCCCGCTTCATCCCGATCCCTGACTGCAGTTCTGGAGGGCCTATTCTGTCAACGGCTCAACTCACAGTGCAACTTCAATCACACTCTCCGACACTCGGGCCTTGTCCGACCGACCTCCGTGCCGATGTCGCAAGCAACATACGTTACAGCCTCTGACGACGGCAGCCAACTTTGATTGAATGCGCTGACACCATCCTCCCCCATCCTCCGGATTCGTCGCCGTCCTTTTCGTTTCTTCCAAAGCCTCCTCGCGCAAGCGAAAAATAGACAGCTCTCAACTCGGCGCAATGGTCCAAGCTGCGAAGGGCCTCTCTTCTTCCGCAGCAGAGCACCGGCCCACGGCTGCTGAAGTGGCTCACGAGGCCTTCTGCGAAGAGCTGCGAAAGACAATTCAACAGCAGCATGCTGCCTCCAGCCTCGACCGATGCCGGAGCCGCCTCCGGTGATCACCACCCAGGCCATCGGGGCAAAGACAGTGCCGAGCAAAAAGAGCCAAATCTAGACTCCAAGAAATGCTCTGAACTTAGTGAAGGCACCCGCATGATATGCTGCTATGTTGTTGATTGGCCTACTTTCCTCTGCGAAAGCGCCACATGATGCCACGGTAGCAGCGGAAGCGAGAAGGAGCAAGAAAGAATGTCGAGCACTCCAACGAAGGGCTGAGGGCAAAGCTGACCCCGTTGCGGGCCCTCGGCATCACTGCCTGCAGCCGAAGTTGTCGGCGAGCTGAACATTTTCTGGTTCACAGCACTACGAGAGCTGTCAAACAGCAGTCCCGACAGGCTATCAACATCTGCCCATGTCCAGAAGCTGGGCCTTCTCCGCCAGGGCTTGCTGGAGGCAGCGGAGGCTGCAGCCCGGGCCCCTGCTTGAAGGCGAAGTTTCGGAGGTGCTTTCAGTATTTGTAGATTGTCCAGGAGCAGCTGAGCAGGAGCGTCAAGTATCAAGTTTCTGCACAAGCGGGGCGGTGCCGGCGATCTGGACACCAACTGCGACAACAATGACCACCAGCGCCATTAATTGCGACTACGGCTGCTCACCGGTGCCCACAACAACCAGAAAGCCACGACAAGCCTGCAGAAGTGCTCCATCCCCCTACTCAACAAGCACCTGGGGGGATCGATCTCCTCGACACCAGCCACAGGAGACGCCCTTCACCTGTTCTTGCACGCTGCGTGTGGCTTCGTCGTGAAAGCCTGTGCCTGTGTTTATGCAAGCCTGCTACGTTTGCATGCGCGCATCTCTCAGTGTGCACGCGCCGAGCGCGGAATGGCATCAAACAACTAATTACGAAGGAGAAGGGCAGAAGATTAGATTTTTTTGGGCTTGAATGCTTGAAGACGGAATAAGGAATCCCAATCCCAGTCCCAATCCCAATCCCAAGCCCAAACCCAAGCCCAATCACATCCCATCCCACGCGTCCATCCATCCATCCATCCATCCATCCATCCATCCAGCCAGCCAGCCAGCCAGCCAGCCAGCCAGCCAGCCAGCCAGCCAGCTCCGTCCATCCACTGTCCATCCACTGTCCATCAACTGTCCATCCACGGTCCATCCACCGTCCATCCACCGTCCATCCACCGTCCATCCACCTTCCATCCACCGTCCATCCACCGTCCATCCACCGTCCATCCACCGTCCATCCACCGTCCATCCACCGTCCATCCACCGTCCATCCACCGTCCATCCACCGTCCATCCTCCGCTGTCCATCCACTGTCCATCCGCTGTCCATCCTCCGCTGTCCATCCACTGTCCATCCGCTGTCCATCCACTGTCCATCCACTGTCCATCCACTGTCCATCCTCTGTCCATTCACTGTCCATCCACTGTCCATCCACTGTCCATCCACTGTCCATCCCATCCATCCCATCCATCTCATCCATCCCATCCATCCCATCCATCCCATCCATCCCATCCATCCCATCCCATCCCATCCATCCATCCATCCATGCGGGTTGGGGTTGGGGTTGGATGGAATGCAGATGAATTCCCGAAAGCCTCCGTAGCACTCGTGGGCGGGACCTGGACATCAAGCAGGCGAGGTCTACTGGATAATCTCGGTCTTGACACAACGAGACACGTGCGCTGTGGCCAGACAGTTGCGCTATGGCCGGCAGTGTGCGGCAAAAAGCAAAAACATTCTCTTCAGCCTTTTGCCAGCTCAGGCTGCGGCCAACAGTCGTTGTGGCTGCAGGGGCTCTGCTGCCGGAGTCGTCCTATTAGCAGTGGGTTCTTGTTGTTCCGGCAGGGTGCATCCTGACAAGGAATGTCCTAATTCCTACAGTACAGCCTACACCGGAGCACTCAACATGCATATAATAATAGCAACACCTACAAATCCTACAATACCAAGGAAACCACTCCACACAGAAACCCTGATACATTGATCCTGGCATTCGACTCCAAAGCCTCAATCCGAAGCTTACGCCTCAATGGGGATAGAACTTCGGACCTGCGGGCTTGGCCGGATTCTATCTAGAGCCATTCAGGGCGCCTGGGGGCTTTTGCGCTGCAGGCTTGAACTCTGTGTTGTTCTATCGGTTTCTTGGGGGGCTAGGGCCAGGGCACGCAAGAGATGCTAACGTGTGGAGCTTGAGAACGTCAATGGCTAAGTTTGCTACGATTGCCGCTCCATTTCAATACGTGCGTGGGTCGTATTATAGTGACCGAGCACCTTCTCGGTGAGTGAACATGGCTTCCCAGTGACTTCCCTGCTCTTTCAACTTCTGTGCAGCACAAAAATGGCTCAAACTCGCAGCCTGAACGCCAGCCCAGCACCCCACCAGAACCAACATGCAAATTCGAAGCCCAGCCGATCAACAGCCGAGGCTCGGAGGGTGGAAGCTACGATGAGGCGAGGCTGCCTCATCGCGAGGCCAGATATGCCGGGGTGGAGGTGGGACAGATGAACCAGGAAATACCTTGCTCAAGGAAGGGCGCTCCCTACTAGTCTCTTTTTCAACTTTTAATGACTGCTATACACCCATACAAGACGGAAAGACACAATGCCATCACGCAGAAAGTCTTAGCATGAGCCTGCGGGTACTGCAGCGCCGGGACTTGGGACGCTTGCGCAGCCTGCGCTGCTTGCGCCGCCTGCGCTGCTAGCGCCGCCTGCGCTGCTTGGGCAGCCCGCGCTGCTTGCGCGGCCTGCGCTGCTTGGGCGGCTTGCGCCTGCGCCTGCGCTGCTTGGATGGCCTGTGCTTGGGCAGCCGAAGCTGCATGGGGTGCCAGTGATGCTTGGGTCTGTACTATCTGTGCCGGAGGGTGCGCTGGTGCCTGGACTCCCTGGACTCCTGCTGACAGGATTCTGGTTCCCGGCTGCCTGCCACAAATGCCAATCCATCAAGAGGAAGTAGTACGAGGTGCGCTTCACTACCCCCATCAGAACAGCCAGGGTGCTCATCATAAAGATCTCGCGGCGGTGGAGGCGGCCTCGGGCTTTCGCGCCGTGCTCACACAAGAATTTCATCCCTTCAGTAGCAGGAAGGCTCAGGCTCGCGGAGAGCATGAACTGGAAGAGGCTCGCGAACCTGGCATTGGCTGTTGCATGGCTGCCACAGTCTGTGAATCAACTGAGTATCAGTATCAGTAAGACTCCGGCAACACTCGAAAGGACCCTGCTCGAATTGAAACGGCCAGCGTTAGTACTCTGCACCTGCCCCGGCTGCTCCACGGACATTGCCTCCAGATAAGCAGGAACGCACAGGTTGGAGGCTCATACTAGGCTCCTGAGAGCAATAATTGGTAAGCAAGGAAATGCAAAGGGTCTGGCCACTTCAACATCAAACTCTGACTTTGGACAGACCGTAGGCAGTGAGCTAACAGAAGGCAGCCAGACATGCACACACATCTAAACATCACTTCTGCTAGCCAAATGTACTTCATGTTCCTGGCATGCCTTTGCAGACGGACGCCATAGTTCAAGGAAATTCAAGAATTTCCCTCGAAGTGATGCTACAGGGCTTCCATGCTCCGCTCCGATGAGACTTCGTGATTTTCACCGAAGTCCAGCAGCTCAGCCTATCTCAGCCTCTACCCTAACGTTTGCACCCTGACACACCACGAAGATCACGATAACAACTGATTGGCAAGAGTTCAGTATGCATCTCGAGATATCCCCTGCTGCCTGGGCTGGTCCAAGGGGAGGGGCGAGAGAAGAACCTCGGTGGACAGGGCTGTTAATGCCTGGGTCTGGAGTTGAGGCTGTCATCTGAGAAGCATTCCTATTGTTATTGACACCTCTTGCCCGGCGCTGAAGCACGGATGCTCACTCCAACAGCTTTAGCTCAAGCATCTCACCTTGGGAAAGCGGTATCCAGCAGCGCAGTACAGACCGGCACAGAACACTCAGTGCAGTGGAAGTGAACCCTGGCGAACACGTCGCTGAAGGCCGTGGCATCCCCTCACCGCGACGTTAGCCCAAGTACGCATGGTCGACATGTCGCACGATCGCACGGTGGAATATGGACTCCTTGGGCTTCTTGGGCCTCTGGTCGCGAGATGTACAGTGGGGCAATGGGTGGAATTGGGTGGAAGATTGCGACGGTGACGAAGTCGGCTCAGCTGAGCCTGGCTGAGCTTCGCCAGCCGGCAATTTCTGGCTGCGGCGTCGCGCACTTCAACTGATCCCAGCGCTGGCCTCCGGCAGAGTCCTCTGCCAACCACTTGAGCTCTTTCCAAGTTCGCCAAGCTGGCACTTCCAGCTGTATGCCACAAAACATGTTTCTGAGGAGGGATGCTTGCTCATCCGCTAGAGCCGTGTAGCAGGCCTCCGAACACAACCGCCAGTAGCGAGTTTCTGGACACAGGTACAATGCAGCTGCAGAGCCACATGCGTCACACGTCAGCAGATCTGGGAGCTCCCAATGCTCCGTTGCCTCCCTTTTGGGAGAGCGCTTGCGAAAAACATAGCATTCCGCGCGCATGCTCGGGAAGCAGGGCAATGGAACACGATGTTCAAGCACATACCGAGACCGCAAGGTTTCGTGGAAAGACTTAGTCCCTGTCATGCCTGTGGACCACTCACCAACGTAAGCCACATAATTGCCACGAAACTGCTTCAAGGCTCTGTCCGCACAGGCAGGTTCCCCTGGAGGCGGCATGCACAACAGCAGCATATCGCAGGAAAGCTTCTTCAGGGAAGATGCATCTCCAAAGTCTACCTTCTGTATCTCATCCCCATCTTCGGGTGGGTCGATGTCCAAAGCCACCACATGGACACCCCGGCGCCGCAGAAGTGCGGCCCAGTATCCCACACCGGCTCCGAGCTCCACAAGCCCTCCGAGACGAGAGTACTTAGACTTCTTTAGAATCCTTAGAGCCCTAGCACTCGGAACAGCAAAACCATGGCATCTCGCCGACGCATCTCTCCCGGCGAGTTGCCAATTCAGCACAGCCTTCTGGAGTCTGTTCTGTCTGTCTGTCGCGTTGCTCGCCTTGGTCGTTGCATAGAGTTCCACGAGGCAGCTGGCCTCCAACCAGCGCGCTCGCAGGAAGCGCAGTGGCAGCGTAGCGGCTTTCCACGGCGGCCCAGCACCGCGCAGCAGCCAGGCCTTGCGGAAATCCCAGAGCACCGCCCGCTTGGTTGCTCGCTTTGTGGAAAAAAGACGGCTTTGCAGTGCCGCACGAAGCTCCGGTTTTCGCTGCAGATGGCATTCGCAGGCTGCTTCCGAGAGCTCAGCGGGATGGCGAATGTCACCGTCGTCACCGCGTCGCCCGCGCTTCTTTGTTCGTGCCCAGAGCCTGAAAAGGAGTTGGTCGAAGAAGTCCAGCTGCCGGAGGAGTGCCTCAACCGACTCCGTGCGGGACTTTCGCTGCGTCAGCTCCTTAGGCAGGCGGCCAAGGCCGACGTTCATCCACTGCGGATCCGCTGCGGCCAGTACCTGGAGCGCTTCCTGAAGCGTGTCCTCCAAAAACTGCCGCCACTCTGTGACTTCCGCTGGCGTCGCAAGGCCAATTGCCCAAGATAGCCGCAAGGCAGCAGCCGCAGCAGCCGCGAGACGACATGCAGACTCCACGCCCAGTGGCGTCTTAGTCTTGGCCTTTGCGTGCTCCTTTTGCGCCTGTGCAAACAGCTCCTGGCCGAAGGCCGCAGCGGACGGCCAGGTGGGTGCCTCGACCTCTGGCCGCGAGAGGCTCTTCGTTGCCTCTTCAGCACGGGCAAGCAGAGATTCCATGGCACACCTTACACTTTTCCTTCGTTTCTTCGGCCGTGTCTGCTCCGTGCGATCGAGTGACTCTGGAATCACTGGTGGCCGGTCCGGACGCGGACAGACGCTGGTGAAGAACATCCCGGGCTGTCTGCGGTCCTCCTCAGCATGGTCTGTTCCAGCATCCCCAGCGCTCCTCATGGCAGTATTGGAGTTGGAGCTCCGTGCGGAGAGGCGGAGAGCCGGAGGTGAATGGCGCTTTGAGAAGCTGTGCCTACTTCCGAAAACGACCCCCCGAGGCTTCTCTTGCAAGCGACAAGAATCACAATCACGAGTCGGCACTTTGTGCCACGACGACCCATTGCCCGCCTTCGTGCAGATGTGCTTCTTTTTTGACATGCTCGTGTAGCCGGCCGGATGGGGGGTCTAGGACGAGTGCCCTGGAGCGGGCACTGGCACGGCTGCTTTGACAACTGAGCTTTCCGCGTATGCCGAGTCCTTCCGGGTAGGGCGGCACGGATCTGGCAGATCGGAGTAAAATCGCGCGATTCCTACAAAATGCCGTCTCTCTTTCGACCTGTGCGGGCCTAAGCCTAACGACTCCCTTCAGCTCCGAAGGTGCTGTTGAAAGATCCCAGCTCACGAAGAGTCCATGCAATCCACAAGATGGCTCAAGAAACTCCCTAGCATCGTCATCATCATCATCATCATCATCGTCATCTTCGTCATAGTCATCAACATCGTCGATCATCTTCTTCCTGACATTCACCATCCAAAAAACTCACTGAGCTTAGAATGGTTTGTACCTGCTCACAACTGGGACCTGCCAGTACAACACTGAAGACACTTACCTTGAGTCGCACTGAGATGACGACAATTGCCATCGCACATGGATCCACCGAGACCGACGTTGCACGCGTATGTACATGTCTGGGCGTACATGCGCTGCATGCACGACTAGTACTACTGATGCTGCTGCTACTGCTAACTAATACTACTAGCACCACTCTTACTACTGCTACTACTACTACTACTACTACTGCTACTACTACGACTACTACTGCTGCTACTACTACGACTACGACTACGACTACGACTACTACGACTACTACTACTACTACTACTACGACTACTACTACTACTACTACTACTACTACTACTACTACTACTACTACTACTACTACTACTACTACTACACTACAACTGCTGCTACTGCTACTGCTACCGCTACTGCTACTGCTACTGCTACCACGACTGCTACTACTATACTACTACCACTACGACCACCACGACGACGAAGACAACGACCACGACTACCACAACAAAACAGCAGTCGCAGTAACTTCTTCTCACTACCTGCAGAGCAATACCGTCCGAAGGGGTGAAGAGGCCTGTCGAGTCCATTGCCGGTATCCGGCTGGCCTCAGGAGAGCGAAAAGCTTCTTGCCGGGTGCAGAAGTTTAGCAAAAACTCGCGAAGACCTCCTGTACGCCACCAATCTTGGAGTCCGTGGCGGTGCAGGTTTCATGTCTCTGAGACTGATGGATGCTGACAGTGGTACGATTCCTGTCCCAGAGGTTGTTACTGTTGTTGTTTTGGCTGAAGAAACTCTTTTCCACGTCTCTGGGCACCCAGCCATTGCTGATCGCGGGGGGCCTTCAGGCAGGAGAGAGGATCTCAGGTGGGGACCTTTCATGGACAGTTTGCCGGAAACTCCGATTACACTGAGGCTGAGCAACGAGTTCTCGGACGTTTCGACGGCATCTGCACAAGCTCTGCGATTCACCGCGCCTGTCCATGGGCCATCGCCCGTTACCTGCTCAGTCAGCTGCGCTCTGGTTTGGCAAGCGACTACATACACTACATACCACGAAGCAGACGGATACTGTCAAAATTCCGAGAAGCTCAACTGCCCTGGATCCGTAGCGCACCTGGGCTCAAGCCACCTCGACCCGCTGTCGAGTAGGCCTCGGGCACTCAGAAGTTGCATCATCAATACGTGAGACATCATGATACCATGACAACGGTGATAGTTGCAGTGATGTTGACACGGGCAGCATTGACGACAACAAACCGACATGCAACAAGATAGGCAAACAAATCTACCTGCTGTGGATGATGATCTTGATAGCGGTGATGAAGGTGTGGCTGAGGATGGTGATGATGGTGATGGTGACGGATGATGATGATGATGATGATGATGGTGATGATGATGACGATGATCATGATCATGATCAAGATCAAGATCGTAACGATGCCGGTGATGGTAATCATAATGAGAACAATCTTGATGATGATGATGACGATGACGATGACGACGATGATGTGTCTGACTATGATGGTGGTAGCGATCGTGGTGGTGATGGTGATGGTGATGAGGTGGCGATGGTGATGGTGATGAGGTGCTGATGGTCATGGTGATGGTGATGGTTGGAGGTGGAGGCGGAGGCGGAGACGGAGACGGTGAGGGTGGGGCTGGCGGTGCTGGCGATGATGATGGTCATGGTGGCGATAACTCGAACAGTGAACGATGTCCTGCTATACATTTTATACATCATGAGCGAGTATGAAGTTGTGATGATAGGTAAAGAACCAGAGCCAGCAGCAGTCACTAGGCCTGACACCCCAATCCACAATCCTTCTTGCAACAGAGGCCGAGTAGTCGTCCAGCAATTAAACCATGCTAAGATACTGCCAATTTGACGGTGTTGGCCCTGGTGGTAGGAGGAGTGGTGGTTGTGGAAATAGCAGTAGGGGTAGCAGTAGCAAGTAGCAAGTAGCAAGTAGCGAGTAGCGAGTAGCTGCAGCGGTAGCAGCAGTGTGACGCTGTCTGGTTTACCTTTGCACTCTGTTGCCCTTGTTGCGGATCTTAGCACTGTTGCACTTGCCACTCTTGGACTCCTAATTCACTATGTTTTCCTTGGTGTCTGAGCTTCTCATCGGCTCTTGCGAACTTCAAGCCGTTGCTGACTGGATGTTGCAGATTACTCATACTGGTCCAATTGTCAGCAGTGCTTGACAATGGAAGATGCTCGGATGAGGCCAGCACAGGCACAGGCGAGCCACCATAGCCACCCGCGGACTGCGAGGCTTGAGCGATCTATGAAGCGACCCAACATGTCTGACATAGGAGATGTGCCTTTTACCCTGCACACAGCCTAACCCCGGCCTAGCACCAAAAGTACTTTCATGAATAGTAACAACTTCTGTGGGCCTGCAACGTGATGCTAATGTTCAGGATTCCAGTCTGCTCACTCTTCTTCCAGAGTGGCACAGGAACCTGCAGCAAAGCACACCGCAGCAATCAAGGGATGGTTTTCCGAGTCGACGATAAAACCCTTCGCCCCACCTCCTGCGTTCGGCCCGTCGCCCGTCTCCAGAGGTTGTCTAAGTCAAACTCAGCCTGGCGCTGAAAAAGAGGCGAGCTTGCGCATGCTCTTAGAAGCCTGTGGAATTCTTGCTCTCCCTTTGAAAATTCAATGAAACTTTTCCGGATTGTGAGGCTTTGGGCGCCAGAGGAACACGCTGTTTCGATTTGAGATCTGCAGGCACCTCACCGCAAAGAACAGCGCTGCGCCACACGTGGTCAATGTGGACCTGCAGGAGAACCATGGCAGACCCCGCAACACATACCTGCTGCTGCTACTCTACTCCTACTTCCGCAGCTGCTCATGCTCCGACTCCCACCGCCACCCACTCCCGCCCTTCAGCTACTCCTCCTGTTACTCCTCCTCCTCCTTTACTTCCACCTCCTCGTTCTGCTCCTCCTCCTACTCCTACTCACCTACTCCTACTCCTCCATCAGTACCACTCCCAATCACAGTGCCCGGGATTCAGGAATCGCTACAAGATTTTTTGCCCCGAGCTATTGGTTACATGCTTTTCCCCACTTGTGTCGCTTGCTGTCCACGGCCTGCAGTGGCACTAGTAGCAGTAGTAGCCTTAATACTAGTACTGTAACAATTCCCTGCAACCCTAAACCCTGCAACTTTACACCCTAAACCCTAAACACTGAACTCTAAAACCCTAGAAATCTGACCCGGCAACCCCTAAACCCTAAACCCCAGCACAAGTGGCACCCACCCCTGAAGTGGCACAAGTGGCGCCCACTCATGCACCGTCGCAGGGCCGGATGTGCATTCCACTTGAACCACAACCACTACCTCCCGTTACTACTAACGCTACTGCAACTGCTACTGCTACCTGCTACCCCTATTAGTACTGCCTACTAGTACTCGCACTCGCACCGGCACCGATTGCAAGCAACCCCGGGGCTTTACGCAGAAAGGAAGCAAGAGGATTTCGGGCGCTTTGTTTGGGTGCACGGCTCATGGCTGCAAGCCCCTTGCTATAAAGGCGATAAGGCTAGGACCAGCAGTAATGTAATTAAACTAACAACTGCCATACTCTCCTGCCTGCCTTGAACTTTAAGGTCTTGCCACGATCCCGGCCGCAAAGGAACCTGAGCTTCGATAGCGGAAATAGCAGCGTAAGACTCAGTATGAACTTCATTGCTCACACAAGACAGTGGCAAGGTGGTGTGGGGGGGGCCTCTGGTTCCACCTTGGTTGGAGGTTGCCGTTCTTGCAGACCTCCGTACGGCCAACGACCTGGCTGCGAAAGCGTGAGCGCCGGCGGAGTTCGCAAGACCAAGGCCGACCTTTTCGCTGCCATCTTCGTAGCCACACACCTTTCCAAAGATCTGCAGACACTCTGAGGCCTGGGACGGCTCTGACGGCCGGGGCTGCTGCCAGCTGGACGAAAACGTCCTGATTCGGCTTCAGGCTGTCGAAGATGCGAATGAGGCGTGCCTTCGAAATCTGAGTGCAGTCTGTGAATGTCAAGCGCTGTGCGGTCTCCACAGGACTTGACATCCTGAACATGATCTCCAACTGGAGGCCTCCAGAATCTTGATGTCCAGCTGCGTGGTGGTCGACATGATGCATGCGCCACTCACGCAAGCATCCCTGGACTAAAACGAAGCTGTCTGGCTGCGTTGTCCTCTCGAAGCTTGACATGCAGATATCGCATGCAGGGTAGGGGAGCATTGAGAAACAATGCCGGCTATTTGGAGGTTAAAGATTTGGCTTCGCTGCCCTATAGCCTTCCGCTGCGGAAACTGTTAAAGGTCAGCACACGCACGCTTGACAGAGCACCTGCTACGGGTTTTGGAACAGTGGGGCAGTGCATGGGTCTGTGTTTTCAGCTTTGAGCCAGAGCATGCGGGTAGGTCCAAGCATTCGCTCTACGAGCCGATCTGGTAGCAGCCGCATCGAACAGCAGAGCACGGGGGATCACCTGACATGCCAATGCAAGGCGGCCGAACATCGACAGCATCCACGAGCCCAGCAAAAGAATGATAACAACTACACACACGTCACATCAGTTCAAATGCGCATGCTGCGCATCAGCACACACTGGCAGAACACATCGTTGCGCAAAGCTGGGCAGCGACAATGGCGCTGAGGTGCGTTCGAAACACTGTATGCCTCCCACAACAGATCCAGCCAAGCACCGGACGTTTGATCCCAAAACAAGCTATCAGTCAATGCCCTGTCGAGCCATCATGTCCGGATTCATCTCAGGTTGAAAACTACGGTCTTTTGCATGTGCGCTGCTGGCGCATCAACAAAACTACTCACTTAGTATCATCATGCGATGTCGATGGCTTTGCTGCGTTCGAAGATTTCACAACCGCAGATTTCACAATAGATCTTGGAACCGATAGCGCAAGCCAGCACGTCAGACATCTGGTTGCCTAAAAGACGCAGATGAACGAAACAAGTCCAACACCTGCTGGAAACTTGCTCCTAGTTCCAAGAGAGCACACATGCAGGCGCACTCCAAGAATCACATCGTCCAGGGCTAAACAGACCAGTAACTCTGTCCGACGCTGAATCTCAGGCAGAAGCTTGCTGACAAAGAGTCCAAACACTTCTTTGCAACGACTCCAGGAAGAGCCGTGTGGTGGCTGGAGCTATGCAAGCTGTGGCGGGACCGGCAGCATCATAAAGATCTTTGCATTGACTATCTGCATCGCAACATGGCATGGCCAATGCCCAGGCTGCCGAGCATCGACAGCATCCCCGGGCTATGCTTGATCTCAAATCAAGCTATCAATCAATGCCCTGTCGAGCCATCATGTCCGGATTCATCTCAGGTTGAAAACTACGGTCTTTTGCATGTGCGCTGCTGGCGCATCAACAAAACTACTCACTTAGCATCATCATGCGATGTCGATGGCTTTGCTGCGTTCGAAGATTTCACAACCGCAGATTTCACAATAGATCTTGGAACCGATAGCGCAAGCCAGCACGTCAGACATCTGGTTGCCTAAAAGACGCAGATGAACGAAACAAGTCCAACACCTGCTGGAAACTTGCTCCTAGTTCCAAGAGAGCACACATGCAGGCGCACTCCAAGAGTCACATCGTCCAGGGCTAAACAGACCAGTAACTCTGTCCGACGCTGAGTTTGAGGCCATGTTAGGCTAGCCCTTCTGAAGGAGCACGGAAGCTTGCTGACAAAGAGTCCAAACACTTCTCTGCAACGACTCCAGGAAGAGCCGTGTGGCGGCTGGAGCTGTGCAAGCTGTGGCGGGACATGCAGCATCTTAACGATCCTTGCAGCAGCATCTTGACTATCTGCATCGCAACATGGCATGGCCGATGCAAGGCTGCCGAACATCGACAGCATCGGGTCCGGCAAAACAAATCGTGATAAACTCGTCCGTGTGTTTAGATCTTCACAAACGCACATGCTGCGCATCAGCACACACCGGCAGAACACATCGTTGTGCAAAGCCGGGCAGCGACAATGGCGATGCGGTGCGTTTGAAGCATTGTATGCCTCCCACAACAGATCCTGCCAAGCACCGGACGTTTGATCTCAAAACAAGCTATCAATCAATGCCCTGTCGAGCCATCATGTCCGGATTCATCTCAGGTTGAAATCTACGGTCTTTTGCATGTGCGCTGCTGGCGCATCAACAAAACTACTCACTTAGTATCATCATGCGATGTCGATGGCTTTGGCGCGTTCGCAGATTTCACAACCGCGGATTTCACAATAGATCTTGGAACACCACGATAGCGAAAGCCAGCACATCACACATCTGGTTGCTCAAAAACGCAGATGAACGAAACAAATCCGATGATATCTGTAGGAGCGCAAGGGAAGGTATAGAAACAAAATGTCCAAGCCCAAGGACTGCACACATGCATGCACGCCTTGTCCGACAGTCGTTCGGTCCAAGCAGCATGCTGGGCGTTGACAAGCCACCAATGAGATCAACAGACCGGCAAGTCTGAACCCAGACCTGTGTTACGATTCATTTAAGCTAATCGCAGTACACGGACCCGAATCCAAAACGCATCAGCTTTGAAGACGACTTGAAGAAAGACGGCTGGTCAGCTCTGTAGGACCTATGCAGGGTCTCGCTCCGGCATCGCAGCCCTGACATTTAGGGAGGGTTGTGCACGATGATGCAGCTGCTGCTGCTGGTCATAGTGATGGTCAATGGTGGTGTTGGTGAATTTGACGGTGGTGCTCATGCTGCTGCTGATGGTGGTGACCACGACGAGGACGATGACAGTGACGATGACGACTTTGGTCGTAATGGTGATGTTGACGACGACGATGATGATCTTGATGATGATGATGATGACGATGAGGATGATGATGATGACGATGAGGATGATGGTGATGATGATGATGATGGTGACGGTGGTGACGGTGGTGATGGTGGTGGTGGTGGTGATGGTGGTGATGGTGATGGTGATGGAACCTAACGAGGCTGACTGCGCTGCGCTCGGCGACCAGCGCTGACACACTTGCGATGCGAGCAAGCACGAGCACGGGTCTTGCTGGAAACCCTTCATTCAGAATTCATGAAGTCATCCACAACAGCCGCGAAACATGCGCAGGATACTCGCCGCTAGATGGTCGACGCATACAGCTCGCATCTTTCGAAGACAGAGTGGCTCTCTTTTCCGACTCCCGGGGGGGGCCTCAGCAGCCGCACTTTGGCACCACCGGCTTCCTGTGTGAGACGCAACCAAAAACGGGTGCAGAGGAGATCTGGCCCCCAACGAGGAAAGCCTAGGACCTGGAGTCTGCTAGGGCCTTTCAAAGCGTTCATTGCCGGTTCCTCCAAGGGCAGATCCTATTCAAGGCCCTACTTGGCAGAGACGCACGGCTTACAGTACGTTTATCAGATTATCTTCTTTGTTGCTGGTCTTGCTCGCGCTGTGCCGTTGCCGCATCTTGGGATGTCCAATTGTGTCATTTCGCGTTGGAAAATTACGCGTCGTCTCCGCCGGCAGACATTGGCACCGGACGATCGGAAGCATGAAGAAACCCTTGATGTCTCTTGATAAACTTCCACCCCCTTTACATTGAACCTCCGCCGTCGGGTAACATAATGCAACAATTCGAATTGAAGTGAACGAGACCATTGCAACGTTCATCGACGCTACATTTCACAAAAATAACAGGGCTGCGAAATCACGCTTCACATTGCGAAAATGGCCAAAGGCCTGTGGATGCCTTCTCCTGACCCGACTCGCCCTCCATGAGGTGTAGGAGCATCTCCATGTTCGCTTCCGAGAAGCTGTCACCGCGAGCGGAGGATGCATTGAAGCCCAGCTCTTCTTCCAGCCGCGCACGGATCTCTCGAACACTTGCCATAGCATCCTTAAGTTCGGTGAGGCGCCTGGGCACATCGGGCACGTCATAGAGACCGTTGATCTTCGCCTGGAGCTGTGGGCTCTTGGCTATGTGATTCTCTCGGCAGGCAGCATGGACAGCGGCACCGTACGGCGAAATAGCGGCTGCAGCGGTTGTGATCCCTGCCACGCTGGCCCCACAGAGGGCACTGATATCAAGGAAATCGTTGCAGTGGACAACGATCAAGTTAATGAAGGTCACGACCTTTCGGGAGAAATGGGAGGCTGACGGGAGCTCAATCCTTCGATGTCTGGCCTGGCTGATGTACGTCACCGCCCCGCCGATGTCGACAGTGCACAGCGCCTGACAACAAGGGACTCTTCACTCCAAATCATATAATCTTCGAAACCATTCTTCAAGGAGACTGTTCACAAAAGCTGATTCGACAGGCGCACCTCCGGAATTCCGGTGAGCTTGTTCAAAGGGGACGCCTTTGCTTTCCAACCGCACATTCCTGAGTTGACGGCACCGTTAATGGCCAAGCCCATGTTGGCGATATTCGTCACGACCATACCCACGTCGATGCCGCACTGGACGCCGTTCCCGATGGCACCCTCACCGATCAGCAGCCGTCGTCCCGGCAAACCACGGACGGTCTGGTCGCCCAGCACGCTGATCTTCGTCGTTGTAAGGCCTTTGTTTCGGGCATGCTTCTACAAAGCGAGGGAAAAGAGCTACGTCGAGGTTTCCAAGGCAAGACAATCGGGTAAATGTTGCTGCATCACAAGAACTTGAACAGATCATAACAAATTAAATTTACTGAGGCGGCAGTGATCATGCACAAAGATGAGGGGAGCTCAGGAAAACCGATGGCATGGCACCCGGGAGACTGTTAAACAGAAGACTTTCGCATGAAGCCTGATGTCACCAATCCCCAGACCCTTGCCTGAACACCGATTCCTGTCCCTGAAATTCCAGGAGCCGGAAACCACAAGCCCGTCATGGCAGGCCAGGGGCTCGGTGGTGTGGGGACACAGGTGGCGGCCGCCAGGGATGCTGTGGCTGCCAGCTCCCCCATAGCGGAGACCAGGCCTGTGACACCTCCGAGCTTTTTGGAGCTTGGCTTCAGAGCGGTCCTGTGGTGGGCGTTGCTGAGACGCCTCTTTCTTTAGCAGGCAGGATCGGGATGATACCTTTTTGTACTTCCAAGCCTACGGAGCAGAGGGCGTTCACGTTGGTGGTGATCGCGCAGTTGGAGGCGGCGAAGGACAGCTTGGCGGCCAAATTGCCAACCCATCCCACCAGGATGGCACCGTTCACTTGGCACGCCAACTGAGGGCAACGCAAGAGACTCGCAGACCCTGAAAAAACCCTGCACTGCGCGGACCCTTCCCCGCCTCCGATTCGCCATCTCGGGGAGGTGGACAGGTGCGGATGATGGCGTTGATATCATCACCCATGCCCATGATAGAGATCTCGGGATGGTCGAACACTTGAAGTGCCCTTTACGCAGCCGTTACGACTCGCACTTATCACATGTGCCATCTGAGCTGCGAAGGCTTCCAGCACGTTGAAGGCACAGAAAGCCTTCTTCGCCTCTCTTGCCCTCTTCGCTTTCTTTCCAGCTCTGTAGGCCCTGATCTCGTCCTCAGCCCACGAAGTGCGAATACGAATAAGCGTCTCTTGGCTGACATGTAGCGAGGTAGTAGCGCATGCACTTCTTCATGCTGCCAAGAGTCCACCGAGATCATGCTTCGGGCAGCATCCTAGCATTTCAGCTCATAGTAGCTTAGTAACTTAGTATCTTGCACATCACAACAACCCGAATGTCTCAAGCCTTCTCTCTCCAGCTTGACATGCTTCACTCTGTCGCTGAGGCCCTGGCAACAGGACTTTCAGGAAGTTGTCGGACCTTCTTGTTGCCGCGAGGGCCAAGGATCCAATGCAAAGGCCGGCTCATTCTGGCGCTTGCATTTCTCGTGCCTGGTGTGCCTCATAGTGCTTCGCATAGTCCTGCTGCAACAGGGCTACGGCTAGGGAGGCCCGCCACAATCCCAGAATTCAGTCTGCAGCTGCTCGAGATCGGAAAGACAACAGGCATGCTGAATGCACACAGACGAACAACGACCAAGAGAGAGGGAGAGAAGGACGGATACAGAGAGAGAGAGAGACAGAGAGGGAGGTGTGTTCCACGTGAAACGGGCGGGACAGAAGGTCCTTGCCCGCAGACTTCATCGCGTTCATGACGATGCCATCGGCAAGGCTCCTGGTGCACTGAAGCTAAGTAGCGGGGTTCATCCTCCAGTCTGACATAGTCCTGTGAGCTATAGAACTGCTAGAGACAAGCTGTTGAAACTCTCTGTTGCTGAGACTCCAAGACCGAAGTGTGCCAGTTCTACTGCCTCCTCCGATCTTCAATTTCTATTCCTGCCAACACGCATCCGGAATCATCCGGACGTGTCCCTGTTTGACTCTGCCTGCTGCGACTTCCGTGATGGCATGGCGTGCCAGTTGTCCGTTGGTTGCGGTTGAAGCTATGGCACGGGTAGCTTCGGCGGTGCTGATGCATCCCAGGTCCAGGTGCCTGTTTGTCACGCTCCGGAGGCCCTGCACCTTTAAGGCCATCTGCGCATCCACGTCCGTCGCAAACTTGGCCTCACACAGCGCTTCTTGGCGGCAGTGGCATGGCGCACATCAGCTCTCCCCTGGGCACCTGCAGGAGCCCAGGCGACCCAGGCTTGCAGGGCACCGTGTTCTTCCAGATCAGCGTGGCGGCTCCGAGGCACAGGGACACGGCGAGAGCTGACACCTTCACCTGAGACATCGACTCAGAGTCAGGGAGTTCTTCAGGCCGCCACGGGGCGCTGGGCCGTGCTGACACGTCACTCGATGCCCTGTGGGCCGGTCCGGCTGCGCTTCTTCGAGCCGCAGGGGCCGGACCTCGCGGCAACGTCACAGCTTTGTGCCGGGCCGGCCCGATGAGAGCTCGGAGCTTCTGCGGCCTCCTCCTCATCGCTGAGCGTCATCCCTGCAGAGGATGCAGAAGAATGCAGAGCTGCACACTTCCGCTTCCGACTCTCATCGCCTGCCCTCGAGCTTCAGATGTGAAGGCCAAGGCGCCGTTCACGGCTGAGCCACGTTCGCAGCTGCAGAAAGGCATCACCCATGCAGACACTTTGCACAACCGATTTTTCTTGTGACACTTGTGAAGGAGTTGGACAGATCTGCCCTGAGAGGACTGCAGGCTGCAGGTACATACGAGCGAGCCCAGCACTCAGGAGAAGCTCTCGCTCAACTCTTTTGACTTGCACAGTCGGCAGACACAAGCACAGAAGGTCCACTAGTTAGATGTTTCGACACGACGAAGGCTGCCTGCCCTGGCTAGTAAGGCCACAGGAGCACATGCTCCAAATGGAGACGTCCGGCGGCTCATGGACTCCATAAATAAAGGTGTTGGCACAATGTCCAAACCTTGACTGCAAGAAAACAGCGTCGCTGGTGCCGAGCAAGCAGGCTGCGATCAACTGTTGGCAATTCCCGTGGCGCTTTGATGCAATAGTTCCAGGCCAAGGCCCCAGCATCCAAGATGGTCAGATATGTAGCGCAAAGATGGATAGAGAGATAACTAGATAGCTAGATAGATGACCAGGTAGATAGATAGATGAGGAGTTAGATAGGAAAGATAGGCGGGCAGACAGACAGATAGGTACTTTAGATAAACACATAGCTAGATAGCTAGACAGATAGATACCGCATTACATGAGAATCTTCATCGAATCTCAGCACCCGGCCACGAAAGGAGCCTGGGCCACGACAAGAAAACTTGCAAAAAGCTTTCCCCTGTGCTTGTAGATCTAAGACTAGAAGCCTGGCACATTCCATGTTCCATTGATGCAGGCCATGATTTAGGACCCCACCGACAACGCCACCACAGAGCAGCCAGATCTTAGTGGGTCGGCCTCGCGAACCTGGGCCAACCAAGCTTTACAGCGAGTTCGGGGACAGTGAGGAGAGAGATGAATCTCTCAAGCGGCAAAGCAAGCGAGAAAAAAAACTCCCCCGTCTTTTGTGTGCTCTTCAAGAGACGGTGTTGCCAGTGGACATGGACACCACCACTGTCTTTGTATCCTCAACCTCACAGATAGACGTTACTTGACCCGATTCGCTTCGGCAGAGTGTTTGCGATCGGCCTTGACGCTGTACTTCGCCGCGTTGTTTCTCAAAAGGCTCTTCTCGTGGACTTCGGCCACCTGGAGCATTGGCCGTGCGCAACATTCCATGCTGAGGCTTGGGCTGAGGAAAGGCCTCTTGTGGATCCATATGCTCCATCTTATCCATGACTTCGTCAACCGTCTTGCCACTCATCTGTGGGACAATCTCATAGCTAACGTTGACGCGACCTTCGCTTGCAAATATCTGGCCGAAAACTCTGCTCTGCCCAAGGGGACCACGACGCGCGTCCTCGTGCCGCCAGGATGCCACTGGGAGTCTCTCTCCGACGGGCCTTGCCTCCGTGAGATTGCAGGAGAACAGCAGGGGCCTGTCAAACGGCAGTGTTCATCGGCAAACGGGCAAACGGCGACTCGCATGCCCCTCCCTGCCTGCGGCTCTACGGTTTCGCCCTTGATGATCACGGCATCTACAGAGACGCCGACCTCCAGAAATGCATAATCGACGCCGATGGTCATCACTTCACTACGGGTACTCCACGTGTGCTGAGCTGGGCCTCCTGGGCGATGGCCTCCTTCAAGGCCTCCTTCGCCGCCGGGTCCTAGCGACTGCTGCTTCGCTTTCACTCGTTCCGACTCTCTCTGCCTCCGACCATATCTGCAAGGCGCTCTCGGCTTGGAAGCGGCAGACAGACGTTTGCAACCGAATCTTCACTTGCGATCTCGAGCAGAACAACACTGAAGCCTTTTGAATCTCAGCCAGTTGTTGCTGCACTGGCGTCCTTCACGAACTTGTCCGGATCCGTCACCTCCTTGGACACATGTGCTTGTGCTGTACTCTCGCGCCCAGCCAGCCAAGCTCACGGCCTCCCGGCTCCCGGCACACTATCGAAATGCGAGCCCGATGCATGCGGCCCTTGATGAAATGCTGGTTCAAGTCGCCAACTCTTCACTTCCTTGCACGGACTCCTGGAGCTCTTGGCTTTCGGTGCATGTTTGCATGCTGCGGGGATCCCGGTTTGTAGAAGTTAGTCATGACATTCTTGCATGACTTTGCAAGCAGCACCGACTAGTTACTAGTTGCTAGTTTGTTGCCGCCACTCCGTCTCCGCGCTTGAATATGTCCAACAGATTCGTAGCTACTGCTGTCAGCTGAGGCTTGCGGTGACTCTCCGGTCCTCTGCAGAGGCAGCAACGGCCGCAGCAGCCGACTCCGGGTTAAGCCCCACCGTGGTGACAACGATGGGTGCGGGCGTGGTGGTGCCTGTGTCGGCGGGTGTTCTTCTCTTGTATATCTCGGAGGGCTTCTGACACACTGAAGCAGACTCAAGCATTTCCAAGACCTGGAATCCTCAAACTTCCGAAGGCCTGGAAGCATCCATCTTTAGGTCAAGTCACTTGGAGTGGTGGTAGTGTTTGTGACGGTTTGTGTGGTCGTGCTTGTTGCAGTGATTGTCGTGGTCGTATTGGTCCGAGTGGTAGTTGTCAACGTAGTTGTGGTGGTCATTGTGGTGGAGGTCGATGTGACGGGCTTGCCGTTCTCGTCGCACTCAATGACTCTTCCTCCCTCGGTGCAGAAAGTGATTAAGGACACATATGAGATCATCTTGTACTCCATGCTGCCACGAAGAAGTCCGAACACGTCCAAGCCGCCGGAACCGTGCACTCTTCCACCTGCCACCCATGCAATATAAACGGGCTGCGCATCAGACCCTTCTGAGCCCGGGTCCTCTGTGGCGTTGCCGTCGCAAGGCTTGCCGCCGTAGCGCGCCGCCAGCTTCGTCCTGGCGACAGGCCAGGCCCAAAGACCCAAAGACCTCACTCCGCCCCCGGCCCCCATCCAGCCCATCCGGCCCATTTGGGCCCCCCCGGTGGCCCGGTCTCCTCGCTCGCAGCTTCTTGGCCGGGCCACAGGGCATGGGCTCACAAGCACCCCAGTCCTGAGACAGGCTCGAAACTTCCTCCTGGAATCTCTTGAAGCGCGCAAGAAAAACCAAAGTACTGGTAGTTCTACTTCTCGCTGCACAGCTCAAAACTTGAAGAGAGGATCCTTCCAGTCGTTGAAAGCACAATCGACGGGGCATGCATTGCCAGGGTTGCAAAACTCCTCCTCCTGAGCGCAGGATTCGAAGTGACGGCAGAGCAAGTCAGACCCACCCCCGCATCCTATATGCATGGTATCCCAGCGGGGCAATCAAAAGATTCGTCTTTCAGGTCCCAATGGGAGTTCGCGTCGGTTATTGGCTGAAACGAAACCGCTCTGGCCTGGGGTTGGCCATGACAAGCCTGGCCATGTGGTCCACGGGCCTCGTCAGCTACGAAGCGAAACCTCCGCCAGGGGCACGGTCAGAGAGCTTTCAAACTTGTGGCCAAATGAGGAGTCGGGGTTTAGAGTGGCAGCTGGTTGAAGTTCCGAAACCTTAGAGCATGGTGAGTGTTGCGTTCAGGCGTGAGTTGGGCTTCCGGGCTTCAACTGTCGATGAGGAGAAACCCTATATTGAAAGCCCTGCACCCGATTCAAGTTCTCGCAGCAACGCGGTCTCCACGCAGAGGACTACAAGCAGGCTGGAGGTTCAAGTTTCAGTTTGCAGGGGGTCGTCTGGATGTGCCACACATGTACCCTCTGGGGACCATGTCAATGACAAGATGTAAGAAAACAAAAAAACTAACACCTAAGGATTCGCAAATCGGAATCGGGCGCCTGACTCGATTCCCCTCTCCGCAGGAGGCGGAACAGGCAGTCCACTCGTTCCAGTCCTCCCAGGTGCAGTTCACGGAGCAGCCGCCCAGCACGGTACAGGCCGAGGTCTCCGTGGAGTCCCCCACACAATCCTCTCCGCCATGTGCGGGTGGAATCTTTCCGCGTGACCTTTGCCTCGTCCCGTTGCTACCACAAGGCATCACACATTCCGTCCATGCCGTCCAGGGCTCCCATTCACAGTTTACGGGACAAAGAACCTCGTTGCAGCGGGTGGTGTGAACAGTCTTGCCCTCGCAGGCCTTCCCTCCAAAAGCCGCAGTGACGGCTTGCACCCGATGGCGCGTAGTGATACCGGCGTTCAGGCCCAAGCCGCAGGTTTTGCTGCAGTTGGTCCAGGTGCCCCAGTCGCCCCAAGCACAGTCCCGAGGGCACCCGGAAGTGCCGCACTCAACTGTTTCCTGGAGCGGCACCGCGGGGTCGCATGGTGCACCGCCGTTGATCTCCGCATCCACCTTCCGGGACCGAGTCCTGTTGCCACCAGCCCCACAGCTCACGGAGCAGCTGCTCCACTCCTCCCAGTCCAAAAACTCGCAATCCTTGGGGCATGCATCCTGCAGGACACAAGCGTTCACCCTCTTTGGGATGGCATTCGGGGACGGGGTGGGGAGGCTCTCCTCGTTGCAAGTCCGCTCGTCCTTGGCCGAACCGGTGCAGTTGCTGCCCTGATGGGGGGCGCAGCAAACACCAGGACACACGCAGCAAGGAGGAGCCGCGCCGTCGCGCCTCTCCCATCACATCCTGCTTTATGTATCGGTAGCGCGACTGCTTCCCACCGCCGCAGAGCTTGGTGCAGTTGCCCCAGGCTTCCCACTCCGACCAAAGGCAGTCCTCACAGCGGCGGCTCTCAAGGAATGTTTCCCCTGGCCTGGTGCCAGAAATCTCCTGTGGACACACCATCTCTGCGCAAGAGCCCTGCTCGAGGGCTTCCCCTGAGCACAACATCTCGCTTCTTGCGATATTCTTGCTCAACCTGCATCCAAAGAAACCGCAGCCTTCGCAGGGCACACCACCAAACTTCTCTTCGGTCTTGCCTGCGCGGCGGGGAGAAGCAAAGGTCATGACGCAACGCCCTGTCCGCCTGGCCTCGGGTCCGGTTCTGAATCGCACCGCCACAAGTCGCTGGGCAACCGTTCCACGGAGCCCAATCTTGCCATGCACAATCCTGGGAGAAGTCAGCGGGTCCATGTCACTGTGCAGGGATTCCAGGTCTCAAGTTCGGCCAAGAGTCAACAGGGCATTCTGTGGCATTGCAGCCCTCTTTCCTGAGATCCGGAAGGTGTGACCGACAGGAAACAACTCTTCAGAGAGCCGTCAAACAATCCCACACATGCACATTTGGTATCATTTGGTTGGTCCGAGAGCAACCTGCAGCCCGGGGCTCTCGTCCAGCAAGTCCGCTGGGCAGGGGGCACCCTGGCCTGCGGCAAGAACAAAAGACGCCCCGCTCAGGCAAGGCAGATGAAGGCCTTCGGGCTCGACCAAGACCACCCGCTTCCTCGCTTCACGCTTGGCCAGGGGCAACCAGCTTCTTCACCAAACGCTGCATGCTCACTGCTTCCGAAGCCGATACACTTTCGCGAGTCGTCAGTCTTTACGTGTCCTCGACTGCTCGCCGCTCCCGCAGCTCACCGAGCAGGGCGACCACGCCTTGCAAGCAGCGGCTTAGGTTTAAGCAGCAAGAGTCGCTGCTTCGGACCCCACAACATTTTCGGGCTGCCTGGCCCCTGTGGCACAAACCAGCCGTCGGACATGCGAATCCATGCGAGGATGTACCGACAAAAGACGTGCGGATAAAGCCGACCCTGAAATTCCGCCTTTGAGTCTTCCAGCCGTACAATCGCACACATCACTCCTACTTTCTATGCTACAAAATGATGCTCACACCCTTGCCAGCACTGCACCAGCGGGTGTACATCCGAAGCATCTGAGGAGGAAGAGGGGTGCATCAAATCCTCTACTTCATGCCGCTCTCCGTCCTTAGAGCGATAAGGTGATCAACGTATCACAATAGATAATAGCAGCAAAGAAACTTGAAAGAACTGGCCACCCCGATTCTTTGCGAATCCGAAAAACCGCCGGGCTGGGGTCCCTGCCGACCACTCGGAAACCACACAATCCACGCAAGCGTTGCCTCGGCAAGCGAACTAGTCAATGTCTTCATGCCAGATTCCCTGGGTCGCCTTTCAAGCGAGGGGCGGCGAGATGATTCCCCATGCGACTGCTTGCAAGGCCCTGCGCCTCTGAGAGCCCAGCTGCAGTTCACGACCAGGGAGGTTTCGCCGCAAGCTTTTCCGCCATTCGCGGGGTCAACAAGAATACCTGGCAGAGCTCCACAAGATGGAAGGAACCACCAAGTTGCACTCTGCTGTGACATCCGAGGAGCTGCGAGTTCTGGACTGACTCCCCTTGCAGTACGGAGTGCAGCTTGTCCAGTCCGTCCAGTCCTTTGCTCGCGACTGGTACGACAGCTCCACACCCTGCGTTGTGCTGCTTTGAGGTCCTCCATGCTGCAGTCCACCGGACAGGCCAGTTCTCCACAGCCACGCACCTCCGAAGAGTTGCCTTGCGACAACACGAGAATCGCTCGCACTGCCCCCCACACTCCGCTCTTTTTTGCGCCCGCCCGGCCTTGGCAGGGCTTCCCCCTACCCGCTTGCTGCACCAAGACGTTGCGGCTGCGTTTCTGCTTGGCTCCGCCACAACTCACCTTCGGCAAAAGAAGGGAACAAACCTGGGCCAGAAGTAGGTTTCAGCCGGGTCACAGGGCAGTTTGACCAGGCGACCCAGCTGCCCCACTCGCCTTGAAGCGTGAGGAAGCAGGTCACTGAAAGCTGAAGCACACAGGAACTGAAGAACGATGGGTGTCTCCCTGGTCAGCGTTGCAGGTGAGCCACAGTCCACGCAGACATTCGTGCAGTTCTGCACCTGCGCACACGCACCAGTTACAGTTGTCATCCGAAGCCCAGCCGATCCGATCTAGAAGAAGCCATGCTGTGCCAGAACAAATGCGATACCTCGGCAATGCTGCCACAGGCCACACCCCCGTTGGCGGGCTCCCGAGTGGTGGTGCGCGTCCTGCGCAGGCGTAGCAGGCGTAGCAGGCGTAGCAGGCGTAGCACGGTGGCGGCCTTGCAGACCCGGCCTCTTCGAGGTTCCGGAGCACCATGGGGAGCACTCTGTCCAGTCCTTCAAGGTTCTTGTACTGTCTCGACAAGGACCACTCCGCAGGATTGCAGCCAAGATTCTGTCCACTCGGATTGGCGGCAGTCCACTGGACAAGCTTGTGTGCTACACTCCTGCAGGAGAAGCGCGGCCACGACATGCTTCGGAATTGAGACTCGGTTGGCTAATGGTCCGGCATGTTTGCACCTCCTTCTCGCTGATCTCGCCGGTGCAAGGCACACCCTCACCAATCTCCTCAGGCACAGTGCGTCCGTGCCGTCCGTGCGCTAGATGTCATCCGAAACTAGCGTGCCACTGTTTTGTGAGGTAGCCACGATCCACTAGCTAGAATACTCCAACGGTGACAAACTCGCTGTCACAAGCTCCGTCCTTCTTGACATACGAGCAGGACTTCTCTTCGGGCTCTAAGAGCATGCCGACATCACCTTATAGAGGCTTCTACCATACTTGACGAAGCAACATTGTCCGGAACAGCTGTTGGGCATCTGCTGACGAAGGTGGAGTGGAGCTAAGCTCAAGACAGATGGTCAACCTTAGCTCCAATGCTGCGATTGGCTGGAAGGCTTTCTACTTGTCTGCACCAGTAGCATTTCATCGAGCAGCCCGTTGTTGCAGCCTTGATCGTAGAGGCCGCCGCAGGTCGGATCCACGCTGCAGGCTTCCTTCAGTGAGGTGCACGGCGCTGCATGGAAGGCATTTGTGGCGGGCATCCGTCCCGAGCCTGCGCTTCTTGTGGCGTCTTTCCCGCCCCATCTAGAGTTCGCTGATGACCCGCATCACACCTTGCAGGATCGGCATCGATGTCTCTCCCAGCTCTGCAACTCTATTCCCTCAAGACATCCTTGCATATCCTTGCATGCTGCGGACCTCAGGCCCAGTTTCTTCTCGTAGCCGAAGGCCCTGCTGCGAGCACCTTCCAGCGGTGTGAAGACCAACGCTACCCGGCGTTACTTTCACAGGAACCGTCTTGCTGGGAATCGCCGCATGGCCGAAGAACACGAAGTCTCCAGATCTGAAGATGACCTCCAACCTGCTAGGACTAGGACCATCAAACCCGCCTAGCTCCAGCAAGGAGCTGGAAGGATGTTCCCGTGTCACGAAGACCTCAGCGCTTCACGGACGATCGGATTCGGATCGGTATGACGGAGCAGCTGCTGGCAATGATCCCCATGGCAACATGATTTGTGACCGCCGCGCTGCCTCGTTTCGGGTCCTTGATCGTGAGCCGCCTGCACAGCTCCTGATCGCTGAAAGCACTCGGGCGTAAAGACAAACAGAGAACCATCCAGTGGACACACTCTGACAACCCTTCGAAATCAGCGCTCCGAGTGCAGGTGCTCCATTCGCCCCAGTCCGAGAGCTTGCAGTCCATGCAGAAGTTTGTGCACGACTTCACCTCAGACCTTCGGGGAAGATGCGCCATCCGCGAAAGCCCGAAACCTCCCTGCGAGGCATCTCGAATCCGAGGGGCAGGTTGCCGCAGGCCAGGCCACCGTTGGCAGCTTGCCGGTGGACGCTCCGGCTTCGGTTCGTCGTGCCATGGCCTAGGCCCCGCCGCGAGACGTGCGGCAGCGGCTCTGGGCGTTTTCTTGCAGTGCGGGAGAGTCGCAGAAAGGCGCGCAAGGAGTCCAGGCGGTCCAATCGCTAACCTGCGCAATGCCATGAAAATGCAGGCGACTGGGGACTCCTGCACTGCGGAGCCACAGCAGAGCCCTGAGGTCATCAAGACGCGCTCTTGCCTCACAGTCCACAGGGCAGGCGGCTTCGCCGCAGTCCTCAGCTGGATGGGTCCAGAAAGGCTGGAGTTGGAGTAGAGAAGATTACGCAAGCACAGCTGGCCTCGGTCTGAGTGGAGTTGCCGATGCATTCTTGCCCATCGCCTTCCGCCTTGTCAAAGCAAGCAACCAAGGTGAATGCGAAGACTCGCCCAAAGCATGCGAAGGACTCCGATGATGCGAAATTCAAACCACAGAGAATTCCGGCTCTCGTAGGAAGACGCGCAACTCAAGCAGTAGACACACCAGTTCAAGCGTGCCTGTACTTTCACGGCACGGTGACGGCTGCGCTTTCCACCGGAGCATGAGACTGAACAAGGTGACCACGCCTCCCAATCCTGATGACGAACGGACTGGAGAGCTCATGCGACAGCAGGTCCGTTGAGGCCATGCACCGCTTGCGGCCAAAGCGCTGTCCACTGGCAGTCCACGCAAGGGTCCTCTTGGCATTTGCTCATGGGAACGAAGGTGGCATTACCTGCAGAAGCGTTGGGCGCAGCATTTCGCTTTGCACATGCGGGCACTGCCGTTCTCGGAGCAGCCGGGAGCACGGCCCGGCTGATGAGCAGTTGCTCCAGCCACCTTGCAAGCAAGAAAGTCCGAATGATTCTGTTGCTGCTCCGGCGCGTCTTGCTGGAGTTGGCAGCTACTGGCGGGCCTCACGTTCGAGCAGAGAAGGCGGCGCTAAGCCTTCTTCGACAGCCACATACCGAAATACCAGTCGGCGCAGACGACTCAACGCAAGGAAGGACTCACCCGCCCCCTTCCAGCCTTGCTGAAGTCTCCCGTCGGCAGCGACCTGCAGCCGAGAAGGTTCATCGCTGTTTCCGTCTTCCGTCTCCCTTCAGATGAACACGTCTCGCCGCCGCCAAGAATCTGAATAAACCAGCACGAGCTGCAAGCTTTGCAGATGCACTGAAGGGTGCACTGAATCCTCGGTACCCCAGACACCGGGGCCCAAGCTGCCAGCCCTCCCCGCTCGCTGCGCAGAAGCCGAGAAGGGCCCGAAGATGGAGGCTCCATGCTGCCGTCCTCCCAAGGTTTCATAGGGGCCTCTGACCATAGCAAATGTAAATAAATGCAGATGATATCCAGCCTTGTCAATACTGCTCCCACGTCTCTGATCCAAACGAGGGTGATAACTGTTTGAATCATGGTGATGTGGACGAAGAGGAAAAGGAGGATGACGATGGAGATTAAATGCTACGGTTAGAAAGGTCGTATGAGTACAATAGTTAACTCTGCTGCTACTTCCATTTCTGCCTCTGCCTCTGCCTCTACTTCTACTCGATTTCGACTTCTATTGCCACTGCTACGGCTACGGCTACGACCACGGCGGCTACAGCAGCTGCTACTGCTAAGCCCTTCGTGTCGGAGTCTACGAAGTCGTCGTCGCAGAGCACGCGAGTGTGCCCACGATTTTACCCATTTGCCGCATGGCGGAGCAGACACATTGCAATTATTGAGCGGGCCAGTGCAGGTAAGGCCTAGAACGTCGTCCAGTCTAGCATGAAAGGCCGAAAGGCTGCCCAGCCACTGCCTTCCCAGCAAAAGCCTGCCCAGCCCTGTGCCTTTAATTCGAGTCCTGTTATTTCTCTGCACTCCGTTCTGTATTGGAGTCTGCCAGCGCCATCGTACTTGGCCATCAGCATCGGGGTAGTATGAAGAGATATGAAAAAAGCATGCAAAGTTATGCTTGGACTAACCAGCAGTAATGATGACGATAGGAATCCAACGAACGCAACAGAAAACACGACGCAACATCGAGGACGACGACGACATGCGTGTAGCCATGCATGTTCAGGAGACATCTGGCAATGACATTGGCACCCCTGAATTTTCACCCACACGGCCAAAAGATCTGGACCGATAGCCGATAGCCTCTGAACTCTGACACCGTCCTCTGCAACTGCCCATTGACTTTGCGAGGCTTCAGGTGCAACTCCGCCTGCGGCCTGAGGGCGGCTGGGTAGGTGTACTGCTCCAAGCCAGGGCCCCAATGCTGCAGACTTTGATGTGCGGGCCCACTACTGGGACAGATGTGCAGCACGTATCGCCTGAACCCCCCCTATCATCCACATGATCACCCCTGCACCTGCAGAATCCGCCAACGCACAACAAGAAAGCAGTCTCAGCTCAGAGCCTGCCATTGCAAACCTGGCTGACGAAAAGGAACAAACATTGGTTCCACAAGGAAGCAGCATGTCTCGCCGTCCACTCCGAGAGGGTGCCAAGAGAAGCGTGCTGGGAGTGCCAAAGAGCAGGCAGAGGTTGCCAAGGCAACTCATTCTGACCTCAGCACCGAAATCCGAGGTCGGAAACATCTCCCTTCCTTCAGCTCCTGAGCTCAGCCGCTCTCGGAACCTGAGCGCTTGGCATCCACGACACTATGGAAATATGGAACCGGTGTTGGGCAGTAGACCTCAGCCCGGTTGCAGAAAAGTGACATGCAATCGTTACAGCAAAGGCAACGATGCTTGAAACCCCTCCGTCTTAGATTTAGATCCCGATTAGCCGTTCCAAATTTCCTAAGCCCTCTGGGTAACCGCCCCCCCAGCCATCGGTCGCCAAGGTGCTTGTCGAGACCTCAGTGTCAGAAAGAAAATCTGCTGCTTCGGTGTCTCACTGCGACTCAGTGGAAACCAGGTACAACAAGGAGTAGATCTGTAAGTCAAGGTGCTCTGGGCCCGAACGGGCTGCTGCATGCCAGAGGCAACCCTAGCATTGAGCCCACAGGCTGCATCCACACGGCTTAGACCAAGCATTCGCTGCGAGGAGCTGCTCCAGTGCTGCCAAGGACATGCCAGCCAAGAATCGTGAGAGCTTACACACCTGGGATGAAGAAACTCTGCGCAAGCGGCTTCTACCGCAGCAAGGGCGCAAATGCAACATGCCCTGCCACCTGTGTCTGGGCCCCGTGTTGCCAGGCTGCACTCTTGGAGAAGCGCGCGTCTTTAACACAAAAACGACGACATTTGAGTGCATTTGAAGCAGTGCTTCGGTGCCAGGGTGGCGTCTTATCAGCTTTAAGACTCATGATCAAACCGGTCACCCCCTGGATGAGATCCATGTCAAATCTGCCGCGGTAAGCTCAAAGGCTTCATCATCGCCAAATACACCTGGCCTCGTTGCTCATTCTCTCCTTACGAGGTGCCTGTGCCTTTGCTTTGCAGGTAACCTCTTTCTTCTTGATGCCTTAACGCACACCTCGACATGAAGTTCCAAAACATGCCCTGAACAATGATTCGAATCCAATGCTCTGTTTGACGGACCCGCCCGAACAGAGATGCATGGTGTGGTGCGGTTTGTTCTGATCTCCTGGTGCTGATCTGCATGATACACTTGGTCGAGGAAGCACAGGGCATGGATTTGTCTAACGTGTTCTTTTCCCCATGAGGGCGAACAAGCAGGGCAGCTCTGTCTGGAAAACTGCATGAACAAGCTTTGCGGCTCTCCATGCCGTGCCGATGTTCGGCTAGCATGGGTCAGGCTCTGAAGCCCTACGAGCTAACGCTGTTCAATGGCCTTGGAGGAGGGGGAAGAACAGTGGACATTCGGCTTGAGATCCTTCTAGGAAGGCAGCTGTGCAGAAAACCAGAGAAAGATTGCACTGAGTTCAGGTTCAAGAACAAAGCCACGCTGGCAAAAGCTGTGGCAGCACCAAGGTTCGTCGAGTAGCTCGAATACCCTATCATTCCTCCAAAACAGTAGAAAACGCTGAAAGCCAGGAATACCAGTAGCGTCTGCAGGCAGTCCACGAAGACCCATCTGCCGGAACACGTCCACCAATGTAAGTTACACAGGTAGAATAAAAATCTGATGCTCAGGTACCACCAACAAAGATGAATACCCAGAGTGTGGCCCACCACATATGACAGTAAGGACCTCCACGGAGCCCCTGCGCGACAGAGTCCGACAAAGCCCTCAAGGCTTGCGCTTAACGGTGCAGTGGCTAGCAATGCGACATAGATTCTCGGCACATTTGTTCGGATGCTCTTCAAGAGCTCCATTCGGAGATCTCCACGGACGTACTGCGTAAAGGCATTCGTGCTACCATACCACGCAATGATGGCTTCGTGCACAAAGTCCCGGTCCGCAGCCACACGACAGTCAGCAGCATTTAAGTCAAAGTTTTCCAATTCCACAACAACTAGCTGCCTCAAATGGAAACTCCTGCGCAGCGCATGTGTGACGAAACAGAGAGGGGATATTGCGATGAGATACGCAGATAGATTCACGCTATCTGCAATCGTGACCAGCCACATCACCACGGAAAGATAGTAAGAGCAGAGAAGCAGCAATACCTGCATCCATCCCATGAACACAGGAGCCAGCACCACCCTTCCCGAAGAGTTCAGGGCCGCGTAAGCTGCGATCTCGAAGACGCACCACAGCCTGTGGACTCTAGACCGAAATGTCGAAATGTCGATGGTTGATGGAGCCCATGCTACGTTACGAACATACATTAGTACGTCGCTACTCGTAGATCTTAGAAACTAAGTCAGTTTACTTGTGAAGCAGACGAAGTGGCCTGGTGAAGTACGGCGAGCTCCAGAGCACGCGCAGCTCTTTGGACATTCTCAAATAAACCCCAAGGCCGTAGACACCACGGCGCATCAAGTCTGGATCTTCCTGATGGATGCAGACCTGACGAGAGCGCCAGAGAGCCAGGGGAGCCTCAAGACCTCAAGAGGACCTTCACTGAGAAGGGTCGGGGGCTTCGAGCAAATCTTCCCAAGGTCAGATTTTACGCCGCGAGATCGTCATTTGAGGGCCGTATTGCAGAAGCCTCAAATTCTAGGTCTCAGCGCTAGCGCAGATGTGCGGCAGACGCTGGTCCGGACAGCGGGAGGTTGGGAAGGCAGAGGACGAGGTGATGCGCTGTCAAGATGGGACGTTTCAATGATTGCCTGTTGACTTACGGGCCTGGAGCGTTGAAGCTTGGTCGAAACTGAACCTTCAATCGTGAACGCAGGGGTGTCAAGTGCACTCAGGCCTTTAGAACAGCCAACCTGTTCGATTGATTCCTTTCAATACCATGCGATTTCCGAATTCCTAGTTGCCAACGGCCTTGTCCAGAAAGCAAGACTCGTCTCGCCGCAGCAATCCAGGCGCATGAGGCGAGGCGATCAAGCCAAGAAGGGAAGCCGCCATGCCAGAGAGAATGATCCAGGGGCCCATGGGGGTCACGGCCTGAAGAGCAACGGACTCAACAGCTGATTCATGCGATCAGGTTTCAGGCTTGCCCCTTATGGGGCCGGCTGCGACCGTGCTTTGTGAAAGTATTCGCTGGCCTCGAACTTTAAGACCCGGGTGGTGGGCCCAAAAGGCAAAGGGACAGCTCCCAGACAGCAGAGCAGCGTCATCGTTGCGCTCGCCACGCCCCAGGCTGCCAGGGAGCAGGAACTCCCAGTCTCAAAGAGCAAAGCCAAGTACTTCCAGTGCCCGGCCGTCTGCCAGGTGTGCGAGAAGAATACGTCGATCTCTTCTGTAGGCTCGGATTGCTCCCAGAGTTGGAGTCGCTGCTCCTTGTCTTTCTTTCTTCTTTCTTTCGGAACCGTGGCGACCCTCTCTCTCTCTCTCTCCCTCAAAACCTCACTTCAAGACAACAGCTCAGCCTCTCCTTATGCATATCGATGGGGGATTTTCGCCAGAGGCGACCGCCACCTTTCCGGGCTCTCATGGGACGGCTTGGGGTTTCCAGCTGAGAGCTCCCGGCCTTTCAGGGTCGATCTGAGCCGGACGCTCCGCAGGATCCTTGGAGCGAGGAGACTTCGTGCGACTCCCCACCACAAGGCTGGCCTGGCTGCGGCCAAGCATCTCCGGATCAAGGCTGAGACTCAGGGCAGAGGAGGATCGCCTGTTGCCCTGGCAGAGCTGCTCGCTAGGCTCCCAAAGACTTTCATTTCAGGGCCGTTATGGAGGATGCGCACCTCCAGGGACATCTCATGCCGGACCTTGCCAGCTGCCGCTGGTCCGCCCGGCTCCTGCGAACTCATTCGGGTCCACTCGTGGAAAGCTCCCACTGCCCTTGCTGCTCGGGGCCTTCTCTCCGTGGAGAGCTGCAGATGTTGGAGGCTCTTCGAAGCGTCCGACATCATCATCTTCCTCAAAAAGCGGTATACCCTTGGCCTTCATTCGTCGGTCAGAACCCTGTTATACATCCGCCTGCTCAGTGATGACTGCCTGGACTGTGACGGTCTCCTTCTCGGTTTCTGCCTGTGCAGGCCAGGTTCTCTTGTAGGCCCTATCTCTTGATGTCGAGCAGGGATCATGCTGGCAATTTCAGCCTCCTGCCGGCAGCAGCCCTGGTCGTTGCCCATTGCCGTGATGCTCCCTTGAGCTAAGTCCACGCACAAAACCCGGGAAGAGCATGCAGTGAGCCGGCGTGATCTGAAACTACCAGTAGCAAATCCGCACAAGTTGAAGTTAGGGAGGCCTTGGCTGGACAGATGTCATTAGTGTCAACAGCTCTCCCCCCGCCAGTTTTTCGAATTCGGATTTGCTGCCCATCTGTCTGCTGCAGATACTCAACTGCCAGAGACCTGGAAACCATTTTAAGAGCTTCACAAGAGCTTGAAAAGCTGCAGCACCATGCAGCACCATTCTAGGGAAGTTCAAGGAACTGATAGCAACAGATTTGCGCGACGAATGGCGGACATGCCCTACCCTGCAGCCATGCAGCTTGGTGAACGCTCCTTCTTTCTTCATGCAGGATCATGCAGGGAAGTCCAGCGCGAAACTGAGTCTACTCCTTCGAGAACGAAGCCGGAGCAGAGGCCATTGAACTTGAACCCGAGCAGAGGAAAGGCCAGTCAGCCTTTTTCATTCAGTCTTCTGCGCACTCCGAGCTGCTGAAGCCTCACATGTTAGAGAAGAGCAGGTACCAGGCTGCAGAGATTCACCTGTCACGCTAACTCCAACTGTAACTGAGGGCATTACGTAGCGTGATTCCAGCATCTCCGCCTAGGCACCGTCAAAACATGCGAATTACAGACGGCCTTGAGATTGTGCAGCTGCTGCATCTTGCAGTGTCAGGCAGTGTCAGGTTCGGGCTACTTGCAGGGACCCGAGAATCAGGATGCCTCCAACAGCTGCCTGCCCAAGAATGGCGAAGGCTTCGGGACCAGCAGCTCTTCACTTCGCATCAGACCAAAAGCTCTCGGGGCCTGGAAGCCGGGAAGCCCTTCCTCAGCCGGCCAAGAAGTTCAGTGAAAGTCGGCAGCGACAGCGTGCATTCCTGCTGCCACGGGACCCCAAGCAAAGCAGCAGCCACCACACCGGACCTGAGCCGGTCCACCCGAATGTTTTCAGGAACTTAGAGGTCAGGTGATTGGGCTTCGTTCACAAGGAACTCTTGGGGCATCTGTTTCCCATATGGTCTTGCCAACATCTAGAAAGAGGCGGGCAAATCTTGGTTTCGAACCTTCAACCGTGCTTGAAGTCTTCAACCATCAAGCGTTGGAACCCCAAACTCCGCTCCCACACAAAGCCAAGCCGTTTAAGGAAAGCTTACCCCACTCTTGAGTTGGCAAGGCCAACAGGTCTTCTGAGTTGCTTGCAGAGTCCCGAAATGCATTGCCTGGCAGTTCTGACTTGTATGCATCAGGCTGGACAGAAAGGCATGAAGGGCACGGGACTGGAAGGCTTTAAGTGTCAACAGGGCGCTGAAGTTGTGACTTTATTGTTTTCGCTAACACCTTGTTGAGCTCATGGGCGGACCAGCATGCAGCTCACTTGGTGGTGGTGGTGGTGGTGGTGGTGGTGGTGGTGGTGGTGGTGGTGGTGGTGGTGGTGGTGGTGGTGGTGGTGGTGGTGGGTGGTGGTGGTGGTGGTGGTGGTGGTGGTGGTGGTGGTGGTGGTGGTGGTGGTGGTGGTGGTGGTGGTGGTGGTGGTGGTGGTGGTGGGGTGGCGGCGGTGGTGGTGGTGGTGGGGGCGGCGGCGGCGGC